CAGGCCTGTAGTTTTCAAGAAGAAGTCGAAAAAGTAAAACATTGACACGGACGACGGACAATCACTCATATGATAAGCTCCCCTCGACAAAGTCGACAGCGGAGCTAAAAATGGCACCCCAAAATTCCAGTGAAAAATGTGTGACTACTTGTGTTGTGTCAGTGTTATTTTATTTTCACCACTTGCTATATTATTGCTATGTCTGATGACAACTGATTGGAAAGTATTCAAATGTGACATAAAATGCAATGTTGATAACGTCTTTTACCCCAAACGAGGAAAAAATTTGAATATTGGAACAATACTTTTTGAATGTGTACAAATAGAGCTTTTTACAAAACACAAAATATTGTTTTCTGTGCTTGATGTTTATACGAGTTATCACAATGAGAAAATTATTCGTTTCCAGGCTACCTCACCACTCAACACACCAGCACCAGTTGTGAAACCAGACGTTGAAAGAGATTTAGCAAGTCCCAAACCCCCTACACCACAACCAGAATAAACGATTACAGATGTTAATGCAGAGATATAAACATTATTTGAAGAAAGTATTTATGCAACTTGTATTGCCATCAAACTGACAATTAAAAGTTATCATACTTCATGGTTGGCTTTTTTTTTTTAATTGATCATGACATTAATTGTTTGTATGTCTTGTGCATTAGTGTAAATATCTAGTATTAAAAGTTGTCAAAATAATGCAATCAAGCTGTTGACATGTGGTAACTGCATTTTATGTCATAATTCCTGGAAGTTGGGTAAAAAATGGCATTACGATACAATTGACATATTTAGTTCATTGTAGACTGAGGTTATTTTGTAAAGTAGACATTTATTTCCATGTATTCAAATTATTCAAATTTATAATGGTGCAAGCTGAGTAGGGTAAATTAGACACCGTCCAATAACAATATGCCATCCACTTATTACTATAGAATCATATGTACAAATGCTTTGAACCTGTAACAGTTTTGTGTATTTTAAGACATATAAAAAGTATTGATGTATTTCCCTTTCTTGTGTACACACACTACCCATAACACTGTAACTTGACATCAAGTACATGTCTTGACTTTAAGGAGGTTTGTGCCGAATTGAAGAGTATACATCATGTTTTCATTATTGCGTGTTCATACGATCAGAATTCCAAAAATAAAGAAAGAAAATTAATTGGGATCACCAAGGATTTTTAGAGATACAATAGTCTGAAGTATCATGGGAAATAGTCAAAACTGTCAATTGGTTTATATGGTGATATTATTGATTCATATTTCAAATTGTGCTTGGTTTAATATTCTAAACAGACTGAGGAGTGAAATGACAGTTCATTGCCATTAAAGTAGTAGTTTAATTACTCAATCCAATTGAAAAACTTTTTTAAAAACGTGTAATCAGTTGATTTTTCATCTGGCTCTATATGTATTCATTATGTGTTCCTGTACTGTAAACATCTGAACACAGATGAATATATATTTCTTTGGAGTAACTTAATAAGAAATTGATCATGAAGATTCCCTTTTACATGAATAGCTCATGTCAAAGATTACCACCAAATATATATATATATATATCGATATTTACAAATTTGCTGTCAGTTGATTTCATACCAAGACAATATTTACATGCATGGAATACAAGTAAATGTATACAGTTGATCTATTAGGTGAATAAATATTCCATTCAATATCATTTTCTGCTGTTTCAAATACATTGTATCTATAATTAACCAGCAAAGCAGTTTATCTCAATATCATGTGATCAAACTATCCAGTAGTTTTAATAATTAAGCATTATTCCAATATAATGTATGTGTATATATTAATAGTTTTTCAATAAATACAAAACATTACAGATGATCAAGATGTGATTTTTGTGAGTGCAATTTGGACACAATCTAAGATGAAAGTTTCGCTCGTTCCCTGCGTCCCTTGCGAATGGTAAGTAGGTAACTAGCAATTGCCATATTGTTCCACTAGGCCGGAATTACGACCGGAAGTCACATGACTGAGTGACGTAATTTGAAAACATTCTAATATTCGTTTTCTGTAAACAAGTCCTCATTATGCCATGCCCATACATTTTGTCTGCTTAGATTTGAGATGTTTCTGGCATTTCTCACTGTTTCGTTGCAAATTTATAACAAAAAAAACAGCCCAACTTTCGAGAGTAAAAGGAAGCCCCTGCTCTAGGGCCACGAGTGTAAGCGCTGACGTCAGGTAACTAAGGGAAATAAAACAAGCAACGAGAAAGTGGCAGACCAATCGGAATGCCGTTACAAGTTACCGGCCTCTTGTGGTTTGGTACGCCATGACACTTGAGGAGGGAACCAGCCAAAGATGAGAGTCTGATGAACAACATGAATGACGATCTGTCTGTCAGAAAATTGTGAATTTATTACATCTTGTTTTGAAGGCACCAAGCCACAACAAATCTTGTTCCATATGCCTTCGAAATCTTTACAATTACGGAACAACATTTTCTGTTTATTGTACAATATTTATTGCAGACATTATAAATAAAATCACTAATACATTGACAAGCCGGTAGGCTGGTTGGCGATCCGCTCCGCTCAAAAACAAGCACCATGTTTTTGGCTGTTTCCATGGTGTGACATAAACGTGAAGCTAACGTCGGTTTATAACTAATACGAAGTTCGCAAACACCATTCAGTTTTTGGAAGTCACTTAGTTTATTACTAGGACCACAATCACTCTCCTAGTCGAGTGACTGTGCTAGGACGTATTCTGCTGTTACATTTATTATTTCCAACAGTTTTGCGATAGCATTTTCTAGAATGAAGCGTTTCCTGTAAATGCTGGAAAGCGAAATAATGAAATAACGTGATGGTAAATATTTACCTAAAGTACAGTGTGTTGACCTTCATAAAAATATACTTCATAATGCAAAACATTAGTCACGGTGAGTTATTTAAATATACGACAACTAATCGAAACATATGACCACAGTCCAGAATTT